TAGGGGTGGTTTCCTTTTCCAATCCACTTCATGCTTCATTCAATGGTAGTAGAGTTAGTGTGAAGTGTGCTCTGTTTGCTTTACCCGCATAATAATAATAATAATAATAATAATAATAATAATAATAATAATAATAATAATAATAATAATAATAATAATAATAATAATAATAATAATAATAATGTCGTGTTACACGCCCCCCAGGATATGATTATGAGAGACGCCGTTGTTGAGGGCTCCGGCAATTCTGACCATCCGATGTTCCTTAACGGGCACTGCCATCACACAGTACACGGGCTTCTACCATTTCGCCTTCATCGATATGCGACTTCCGCGGCCACTGAAACATAAGTTACTCTCTGTTAGTGACAGAGCGCTGACGCGTACAACATTAGCTGCCTTCTGTGCATGTTCTTTTTGAGGACAGCGTATACAGTGTTGTACCGAAATACGAAGGAGGGTACTGAAATGTAAGAGGCGTTGAGCCGAAAAAAATTCTTCAGCTTGCTTTGAGAAGATAGAAAGTTGTGGGTGTTACGCGTTATCTGTCTGATAAAGGTAAGACAAGCAGCGTACCCTTCACCGCTGGCGCGTTCCCGTCAAAATGAGCACGCGATTGATCGAAGAAAGAAAGCGAGCCCTTTCGCACAACGCTAAAGCTAGCCTATTGCAAGCGAGTAAAAAAAAAAACAAAAACATGCATGACGACGAGTGCAGAAGAATGCGCGCGTGCACTTCGATATCTCGTCACCAGACGTTCAACGCCAGATGGCGCGGCGGTGCAGTTTGCTTTACGGCTTGGTGGCGCTAGCCACCGCCCGATCTAAAGGGTACAGCCATATCCATCCATTCATCCTTTGGTTGCGGTCGCCACTCGTGCGGGCCGACTTATCTTGTTGATGGGTGCACGATCCTCGTGCATAGGCGCCTATAGCTTGTCAAAAGTGAACTGACCTGAGGAACGACGACGCTTGGCGTCACGGGCCTGTATGGAGCCCTTTTTACCCGAGGCTTCATTCGTGGTCGCCGCATTGCCGGGAACCGGATTAACCAAGGTGCCGCTACCCTGCCGGGCGATGCTGGATTTATGCCGACGGGCCGACTTTCGGCTGCCTGGGCCGGTAGCACTGCCACCTTTGCCCTGTCGGGAAGAGTATGGGGCACCAACATGTAAACACACGGCTCGCGATATTCGGTATCCCGGGAATCATGCATTACGGCACCCCTCGACGCAAAAGGAACCCGTACGTAAGCCATTAATTATCTTATGTGGTATAGTAGTAAGACGGTAAGTTGGGCCAGTTGGTTAGGATCCATCGTGAACTTACAGCGCAACACAAGAAAAAATACAGGACAGGGAAGGAGCAAAAGAGACTTTCTCTTTTTTTTCTCTCTTTTGCTCCTTCCCTGTCCTGTATTTTTTCTGGTCGCGCTTCCGATCGCGCTTCCGATCAGCGCTTCCGATCGTTTGCGTGCCGTCTCCGTGCATTCTAGTTTTCCCTTGAAGAAGCCGTATTTCTGTTTGCGCAAATAACTTTTTCTCGACATCCGCGGTAGTCATATTTCCGACAGGAAGTGAATTTTCGCGCCGGCTGAGTTCCTCATCTCTATAAATCAAGTCTGTTGAAAATGTCGAGAAAATGTTTGTTGCATAATGAAGATGCTTGGGCCCATGAAGCCTTCAGCATGATAAGAATGCCCTATCCTCTGACGTAAATGTTTTTTTAGTTTTATTGCTTGCTAGTGTCATTGGGTTTTCGAAGTAAATTAAAAAATTGGGCTAGTCGGAACATACTCACCACAACCAGCGCACAAAACCACAAAAAAACAGCACGACACAAGCTATGTCTAAGAACTGAAAGTTGAAAGGATGAAACGTGTCATATATGTGCAAGCGTGAATGCATAAAAATTCTTCACAACCCCAACAAAGCACCTAATGAGGTATGCTGAATATACGAAATATCAGCATCTATGAGAGCGCTGGAGTCTTAAAGTTAAGGTTAAATGTTTAGGTTAACCTTAACCTTGAGTGTTAGGCAGGGCTTGTGTCATGCCCTTTTTTGTGTTTCCCCTGCTTTTCTTGAGCTGACCGTCATGATTAGGTTCCGTCTCTTGTTTAGTTACATCCAACCACACGTGGCGTACGGCTCTTTCGCTTTTCACGCAAAATTCGTCACCTGGCCATGAGTGGCGACAGCCATACTCGCGTTATTTGCGGCCTACGTGACGCGGAATGCATGAAATATACGATATACAGATCGAGACAATGAGTTAAGTCCTGCCTTACCGATTCCTTGCTGGTTGACCCCTTTCCGCGCCCCTTATTCCGAGAGCGGGAGCGCGATTTGTGGGGTCCTGCGGGCTTCTCAGCTGCCTTATCGGACATGATGACACTCGAAAATTACGAAAGAAGAAGGGCACGAATCCAGCAGCTGAATGCAACCGATGGCCTCTGAGAGGATCGTTTGTGTCGTCACTGTCGATGCGCAATACCCATTATGGGGGCTCGACCAAGGCTCGCGCTCAGTCAGAAGAATTGACTTGAATGTAAGTGCAACATTCGAGCTTTTTGTGTCTTTTTTTGAAAGGAAGAATAATAAGTGCTTTATCATTTAAAAAAAATTTTTACGTTGCTTCGTTTAGCAAATAAATTTTCTTTCGGATTTTGACATACTAAAATTTTAAAAAATGTGTTCATTAGAATAATGAAGTGAACTGTTTCTTTCCATTTAACTTACCTTTTTGCACGTGCTCACTTACGAGTATGCATAACACAATAGGCCTATGCCGTCAACAAGGCATAATAGGGCATTCATTCATTTAATCATTCATTCATTCATTCATTCATTCATTCATTCATTCATTCATTCATTCATTCATTCATTCATGGTGCATAGGTTGCGTCGTTTGCGACATTGGTGTATTTTGTAGCAGCTCTATCTTGCTATTGATGATCTAATCGAGAATATTCACGGTTGGTGTGGACCACTTTCCTCATTGCAGCTTTGTTTATTGTGATGGTTAACCGGAGACGTTCGTCACTATGTTTGTTGATAGCGGACGAGAAATCATTAACATGAACTTTTTATTTCATGGCATGGGTGGAACGGCTGACGACGCACGGATACGCTACCGTGTGCAGCGCCGTTGAGTCGGACGTCGCGGCCAACCCAGCAGTCAGGGTCGCAACTCCGGAGGTCCCGGATCAGGCCACGGCTCACGAGGACCACACCCGGTAGACCTCGTCCACGAACCTGCTCCCGGCCACTGCACCCAGGCAGGAGCCGTTCAGCAGGTCTCGGCCTTGGACCTTGAACAGAAACACCGGCGGACTCGACCCTGAACGAACACACCGGAGCTCGACCTGGCCGACACGTACGGGTCCCACGTCCGGCTCAGGAACGCTCCCAGGAACTCGTCCTCTCGAGCGGCGCACTGCTTCGTCTGCCTTCGTGGCCTCAACTCTCGAGCTGCAGTGGCGGAGATGCCTTGACCCGCGCGACCTCGGACCTCGTTTCCAAGCTCTTGATCACCTTCCGGGCGTAGCGGTTCCACGTGCGGGTTCTGGCCAGCACAGCACCGTCTGTGCCGTGCTGAAATGCTGCTCGCTACAGCTGCGGTGCGGCAGCTCACTCACCGGCGTTCGTCGCCTTGGCCAGGGCACAGCCAGGTACCCTCGGGTGCGCACCTCGTGAGCTCGCGGCCCACTTCCGAGGCTGGCGCGTCGCTCGGTACGGCTCGGCACCACTGGCGATCCTCGATTCAGCCAGCAACTCCCCTGGCCCCTCGATCCTCGGCCACCCTGGACCTCGCCCGGCTCCGTGCTCCTCTGTGCGCACTCCCGCGTCTCGCCCGGCAGAACATCTCGCTCGTCCCTTGCCGAAGTGCGACGCTCTCGTGACACCGGCGCTTGATGGCATAGGTGCGACTACGGAGCAGTCAACCCGCATAGGAGACGCGATGCTCCATGCGGGGAATAGCCAGCCCGTCCAGCGAAGAGCGTGCGCCGAGACGCGATGCTCGACGCAACCGTGACCATTAGCCAGGCCACGTTCATCACTGTGTCGAACGGCTGACCGTGGAGACGCCTCGCCGAGATCCGCGATGCCCTCGGCAAGGAAGAGAACAGCAGGCCAGGCCGCGCCCCGAGATGCAGTACTCGTGCCGGCAACGCCGCCCCAGCTGGTAGTTGGACGGCAGTAGCGTGGACGGCCGCGTTCCCTGGCCGGAACCTGGATCACCTGCGTCCGACGCTTCGGCCCGCTGTCTCCTGTCTCTCATCAATCCAGGTCCCGAATAACTCGAGTTCTTTCTTTTCGTCGTCTTCATCATCCATTAAGTGTTCCTCTTCATAATCTTCCTCATCGCTCAATCCCAGTGGGACATCCACACTATCTTCACCTCCATGCACTTTGCTTTCCTATGTGTGACGCTCTGGTGACACCGGCGCTTGATGGCGTGGGTGCGACTACAGAGCAGTCAACCCGCATCGGAGACGCGATGCTCCATGCGGGGAATGGCCAGCCCGTCCAGCGAACAGCTTGCGTTGAGACGCGATGCTCGACGCAACCGTGACCATTAGCCAGACCACGTACGTCGCTGTGCCGAACGTCTGACCACGGAGACGCCTCGCCGAGATCCGCGATGCCCTCGGCAAGGAAGAGAACAGCAGGCCAGGCCGCGCCCCGAGATGCAGTACTCGTGCCGGCAATGCCGCCCCAGCTGGTGGTTGGACGGCAGCAGCGTGGACGGCCGCGTTCCCTGGCCGGAACCTGGATCGCCTGCGTCCGACGCGTCGGCCCTGTAGTGGACGCTGAGTGCTATGTTAATCCTCTAATGGATGGCGCTGTCGGCATGCGCGCGCCACCTCATGTGGGGTATATAGCAGGGGGGCAGTGGGGAATAAAGGGGGTCTTCTTGTTGTTGCTACGAGCCATGCTCGTGTCTTACTCGGCGTCTCTGAACATGGTGTCAGAAGTGGGCGTCTAACGCGGAGTTATGGAGGAGACAGACGCCGGACCTTCTCAGCTCAACTTCATTCACGTCGGTACACCGGGACTTCAGCCTCCGTCGCCTTTCAACTTCACCAGCCCTGGGGAATGGACAACATGGATAACGAGGTACGAAGATTACGCCTTCGCGGCCGGTATCAACACAGCCACCGACGAGGTGCAGGTGCGAACTCTTTTATATTGCATGGGTTCCCAAGCACGTAGCGTCTTGTCGTCGCTAGGACTGTCTGCTCCGGAAAACCGCCCGTTTGCGGAAGTCAAGGCTAAGCTCACTTCGCATTTTGTCCACCCTATCAATGAGATTTACGAGAGCCGCCGATTTCACCGCCGAGTGCAACAACTTGGGGAGCCGGTTGATGAATTTTTCACCGCGCTCAGGAATCTTGTCAAGCGTTGTGGGTACAACAACGCCGAGATCGAAGACCGCCTTGTGCGAGACAAGTTTGTCGTTGGATTGCGGAATGAGAAGCTATCGGATCAGTTGTGCCGATGTACGAAACTTACAGCTGAGGAAGCGTTGTGCCAAGCGCGTGTTCATGAAGAAGCCGAAAAAGAGCGTCTATCCCGTGAAACTCCCAGCGAGAACGGGGCCTTTGACAGCTTAAACGTGGACGCGGCGCAACGCGCGAAGAACGCTTCATCGCGTCGCAGCAAATCTGTGCAGCCAACTCAGTCTACTTGCGATTACTGCGGCCGTGGTCACCACTCTCGAAAAGAATGCCCAGCTCGCAAAGCCACATGCAATTTCTGCAAGAAGCAAGGTCATTTTATTGCTGTTTGCCGGGCCAAGCATCGGAAAGAGCTGTTAGGCTCAGTGGAACTTCACGCGCTCAGTACGCGTCGGGCACGATATGCCGACATTCACGTGAATGGTCACCTCGCACACTTCAAGATAGACTCAGGGGCCGAAATAACGGTGGTTTCACCTTCTTTTCCGGCATTACCTACTGTTTTGGATAAAGTGGACGCCGAGGTATCCGGTCCTGGAAATCAAAGGCTGCACGTTCTGGGATCTTTCACTGCTACCTTGCAGTGGCGTAACAAAGTGTCTGTGCAAAGACTGTATGTTATCAAGAACCAGACGACACACCTCCTGGGATTACCAGCAATTGAAGACTTGGGCATCGTTCAGTTTTTGGACTCTGTGGATGGTATTCCGTCATCTCAATCAAAAATTTTTCGTGGGCTTGGCGAAGTACAGGAAGAATACCACATCCGCGTCGCTCAAGATGCTCGTCCCTTTTCATTAAGTGTTCCTCGACGAATACCTCTGCCTCTGCTAGAGCATGTGAAGAAGGAATTGGATGAAATGGAAACCCAAGGAGTCATTCGCAAGGTTGACACGCCTACCGCATGGTGTTCAGGCCTCGTCGTCGTGCCGAAGTCGTCGGGCGGGTACAGGCTCTGTGTCGACTTGACGAAGCTTAACAAGGTTATCCAGCGGGAACGCTACATTCTGCCGACAGTTGAAGACATCTTAGGTCAGCTTGGTGGGGCACAAATTTTTTCCAAGCTCGATGCAAGATCCAGCTTCCACCAAATAAAACTAACTCGTGAGAGTGAAGAACTGACGACATTCATCACACCTTTTGGCCGATATTGCTACAAGCGTCTTCCCTTTGGCATTGCGACAGCACCCGAGTATTTCCAACGCTTCATGTCGAGACTGCTCGAAGGCATCACCGGAGTCGTCAACATGATAGACGACATACTCGTCTTTGGTAGGAACCATCAAGAGCACGACCAGCGTCTAGCTGACGTCTTGGCACGGTTGACTCAAGCGGGTGTCACTCTTAATGAAAAGAAGTGTCAGTTCAGGGTCTCTTCTGTCAAGTTCTTAGGAGTTGTCGTCAGCCAGCAAGGAATTAGTCCAGACCCGGACAAAGTCAAGGCTATCATGGATCTCCCACCACCAATCGATGTTAGTGGTGTTCGCCGATTACTTGGAATGGTAAACCATGTGGCTCGATTCATTCCAAAACTGTCTGAGATCTCCGCACCTATTCGTGCACTCCTCAACAAGAATAACGCGTGGAGCTGGAGTTACAACCAAGAGGAAGCGTTCAAGAAGATAAAGTCTTTGCTCAGCTCCGACACATGTATGGCTATGTACAATCCCCATTACCCAACTATAGTATCGGCTGACGCAAGCTCTCATGGCCTTGGTGCCGTTTTACTCCAAGATCAACCGTCAGGAATTCGACGAGCAGTTGCCTATGCTTCCAGATCTCTCACTACTACAGAAGGACGCTACAGTCAAACGGAAAAGGAGTCTCTGGCTGTCACATGGGCTGTCACCAGGTTCGATCAATACCTACGTGGACTAAGCTTTGAGGTCGAATCCGATCACCTTCCGCTTGTAGCTCTCCTGTCAAGTAAAGATCTGGACATCTTGCCACCTCGAATTCAACGTATGCGAATAAAACTGATGCGCTATCAGTTCGCCGTCAAGTATGTTCCTGGAAAACTGCTAGCCACAGCGGACACACTATCAAGAGCACCCTGCGACTTGCCAACTTCTAAAGCAGTCAGCAGCTTGGAAGTCTATATAGGGGAAGTTCTCAAGGAGCTACCTTTACAACTGGAAAATCAGCTAGACGAGATCCGTCGTCTTCAAGCTCAAGATAGCGAGTGTTCTTCTATTATGACTTATTGTGAGAAAGGCTGGCCGTCCAAGAAGAGAGTTCCGACCCATTTAGCACCATACTGGAAGGAGCGAGAAAGACTGAGTGTGTACGATGGTTACTCTTACTGGATCGCCGCATTGTCATCCCGTCAGCCCAACGCAAGGACATTCTCGCACTACTGCACGAAGGACATCAAGGTGTCCGCCGCTGTCAAGTGCGCGCCCGCGAGTGCGTTTGGTGGCCCCATTGCAGCCAGCATATTGAGGACCTTGTGGCTCAATGTGCTAAGTGTGCTGAGACGCGAACCTTGCGTTCTGAGCCACTGTCACCAACGCCAACACCGGAACGACCATGGCAACGCCTGGGAATCGACTTGTTCCACCTGGAAGGACGCGACTACGTCCTCATTGTCGACTACTACTCCCGATTTCCAGAAATAGTCACACTGGGAACTTCATCAGCAAAAGCGGTTGTTGCTGCGGTCAAGAGTTGTTTTGCCCGTTTTGGGATACCAGACGTTGTGCGGACGGACAATGGACCTCAATTCTCGTCCAAGGAGTTCGCCGACTTTGCAACGGCGTATCGATTCTGCCACGAGACCAGCAGCCCTCGATACCCTCAGAGTAACGGAGAGGTAGAGCGCATGGTGCGTACCGTGAAAGATTTGCTGAAGAAAAGCCCGGATCCGTACCTCGCTCTACTCGCATACCGAGACACACCTGGAGTTTCGGGCGTCTCTCCAGCTCAGTTACTCATGGGAAGGAGACTACAAACTCGTCTTCCGGTTCTGCCTGAACGACTTCTTCCGGCCTTACCCAATCACGAGGAATTTCAAGCACAGGATACTGCGGCGAAGTTGAAACAGGCGAAGGACTACAATAGCCGTCACAGTACTACTCCTCTGATTTCTCTCAGTATGGGGGAGGATGTGTGGATAAAGGATTTAGGTTGCAGCGGTCGTGTCCTCAGCCCAGCTCAGCGACCAAGGTCATATGTGGTCGAGACTCAAAGTGGTGTTGTCCAGAGGAACCGTTGCCATCTGGTGCCGTTTGTAGATGACCAAAATGTCCAACAGCAAGCATCAATGGCTTCATCACCGACGCATGGAACCTTGTCATCAAATCCGCCAAGAGACTCAGCCTCGACCTCAGCGTCGGAATCATTGTCTCCAAGTGCTTCAAGTGCTTCGTGCGCATCACCTGTGCCGCCTGTGAAGATGCCTCCCTCGCCTGAAGTGCAGACGCTACCGGTGCAAGCAAGTGCGCCTCAGTGTGATGAACCTAAGCGTACGCGTTCTGGCCGTGCCGTGAAACCGCCGCGCAGGTTGAACATGTAACTATCCCGGGAGGGAAGATGTAGTGGACGCTGAGTGCTATGTTAATCCTCTAATGGATGGCGCTGTCGGCATGCGCGCGCCACCTCATGTGGGGTATATAGCAGGGGGGCAGTGGGGAATAAAGGGGGTCTTCTTGTTGTTGCTACGAGCCATGCTCGTGTCTTACTCGGCGTCTCTGAACAGGCCCGCTGTCTCCCGTCTGCCGCTGCTTCGGCTCGTCCCCAGCCACAAAGCCCACTGCCACGTGATGGTCGCCCGTGGCCCAATCGTGGCACGCCACCTCTATGGGCCACCACAAGTCATCAGCTGATTCGCTGCCACTCACGCGCACATTACACGCGCCATGCCCGCACTTCCGTCGTTGTCGTTTTCTTCACTCATCACAATAACCCCCGAACAAGAAAGTTGTTTCAGTCAAACAACTTTTCTCACAATACCAGTGATGAGGAAGAACAGTCCCGTGGACTCACGACTCTCGAGCAGTGGTGGCGGAGATGTCTGGACCAGCGCGGCCTCGGCCTCGTTTCCGAGGCTCTCTGGTACCATCATTTCTTTTTCCTCCGCGCTCACCCATGCCAGCAAAGCCTCTCCACTCAGCCCCATCTCCTTCCCTAGCTCAACTAGCTTTCTCTTGTCGTCCATTCTCGTCCGCCACACACAAACAACGTGAGGCTCTCCGATGTAACGCGAGAGCTTAATCCTGGCAGGCTCGCCATTTATTGTGATGGTTAACCGGAGACGTTCGTCACTATGTTTGTTGATAGCGGACGAGAAATCATTAACATGAACTTTTTATTTCATGGCATGGGTGGAACGGCTGACGACGCACGGATACGCTACCGTGTGCAGCGCCGTTGAGTCGGACGTCGCGGCCAACCCAGCAGTCAGGGTCGCAACTCCGGAGGTCCCGGATCAGGCCACGGCTCACGAGGACCACACCCGGTAGGCCTCGTCCACGAACCTGCTCCCGGCCACTGCACCCAGGCAGGAGCCGTTCAGCAGGTCTCGGCCTTGGACCTTGAACAGAAACACCGGCGGACTCGACCCTGAACGAACACACCGGAGCTCGACCTGGCCGACACGTACGGGTCCCACGTCCGGCTCAGGAACGCTCCCAGGAACTCGTCCTCTCGAGCGGCGCACTGCTTCGTCTGCCTTCGTGGCCTCAACTCTCGAGCTGCAGTGGCGGAGATGCCTTGACCCGCGCGACCTCGGACCTCGTTTCCAAGCTCTTGATCACCTTCCGGGCGTAGCGGTTCCACGTGCGGGTTCTGGCCAGCACAGCACCGTCTGTGCCATGCTGAAATGCTGCTCGCTACAGCTGCGGTGCGGCAGCTCACTCACCGGCGTTCGTCGCCTTGGCCAGGGCACAGCCAGGTACCCTCGGGTGCGCACCTCGTGAGCTCGCGGCCCACTTCCGAGGCTGGCGCGTCGCTCGGTACGGCTCGGCACCACTGGCGATCCTCGATTCAGCCAGCAACTCCCCTGGCCCCTCGATCCTCGGCCACCCTGGACCTCGCCCGGCTCCGTGCTCCTCTGTGCGCACTCCCGCGTCTCGCCCGGCAGAACATCTCGCTCGTCCCTTGCCGAAGTGCGACGCTCTCGTGACACCTGTTCTGCTTTACGCGCTCAGCAAGGACACAACCACACGAGACGCTAGCTAGCAAGGGACTGTTTATTGATGGCTGCCGCGCCGCGCGCGCCCTCTCTCAAGGTGGCCAGGTGAGGTGGGATCATCCCGATTTATTAAGCGGTGGCCCGCCTGGTACATCCTCCTTTTTCTTTAGGTGATGTAGTCGGCAAAGCGCGTCGGTGCTCTACGTGGCCTAGTTGATCTTCTGAGACTCGAGTCGGCTGCTTCTTGTGCCTGGCAAGTGACCTTATGCTGGGACGGGACCACGTCGGGGTCCCTTGATGGTTGACTTGCAATGGGTGGTGCACGTGCAGCTGACTGGTTCAGTAGAGCATCCGATGCAGGCGCCTGTTGTGACGGATGTCGTTCCTTTCGTGATGCGGATGCTGTTGTCAAATCGGGCGCTGTATCTGATGTTGAATGTTGTCTATGCTGTATAGGCGACGGGATTATCGGTGCGACATCCTTGTCATCCAGTGGGTCTAAGTGTTCGGGCGTCCTTTTTAGATGCTGACGATTCCTTCGATAACGCCGGCCTTCATCTGTACAGACTATGTAAGATCTAGGGCCTGCAAGTTTCTCTACTCGGGCTTTCGGAAACCACCCCTTGTCGTTTCTTATTCTGACGACGTCCCCTTCGGAGAGAGGTGTGAGAGGTATGCCTTTGCCGTGATCCTGTGGATGTTTCCGCACTGACGATGTCGAAGCCGATGAGAAGTCTGGAAGTCGTCCCCGAAGCATCCGTCCCATAAGGAGCTGACTTGGTGTGCGTCCGTCTATCAGGGGCGAGATTCGATAATTGAGCAGTGCAACCCAAAACTCCTCGCCAGCGTACTCACTTTTCTTCAAGAGGCGCTTTACGACCTGTACCCCTTTCTCAGCTAGACCATTGGCCCTGGGGAAGTGTGGACTGGATATGGTATGAGTAAAATCGTATTTTACTGCAAACTGTCTAAACTCTCGCGATGTGAACTGTGGTCCTCCATCGGTACAGACTTCAATGGGTATACCGTGGCGAGCAAACATGGTCCCTAGTGTGTCCACTACGACCTGACTTGTTGACTGAGGCAACTGTTCCACTTCTGGGTAGTTGGAGTAGGCACAGTACGCAACCAGGTAACGCTTGCCCCCATGGTCAAATAGGTCGACACCAATTCGCTGCCACGGCCGCGTTGGGATTTCCCTCGATAACAGTGGCTCTGAAGGTTGCCGGTAGGCAAAGTGCTGACATGTGGCACACTTGCTAATGAGTGACTTGATGTCAGCATTCATCCCAGGCCAGTACATCAGAAGGCGTGCTCTGGCTTTGCACTTGCTCATTCCCAAATGGCCTTCATGAAGACGTTGCAGCATGGATCGCCTCAGACTCTTTGGGATTACCACCCTGCTGCCCCGCAAAAGCACTCCATCAACATATGACAGTTCTGACAAACATGGAGCTAGTTCGCCTGAGACTGGTCGTCCTTCCTGGAGTGCCTCCACCACTTGCTTGAGGTATGGGTCCGCCAGGATTGCAGAGGTCAGTTCAGTCTTCGTGTTCTCACTTACGATGCTGGCTAGCACGCGAGTCGCATGGATGCATACGTCTTGTTCGCTTTCTCCGTCACTCGGTTGGGTTCCTGGAATTCGGGACAGTGTGTCCGCCACTAGCAGATGCTTCCCAGGAACATATTGCAATTTGATATCAAAAGGCATTAGCCTCAAGAAATAGCGCTGCAATCGTGGCGGCATTTCACTCAGGTTCTTTTGTGAAATAGCAAGCAAAGGTCGGTGGTCTGTTTCGACTGTCACTGATAACCCCAGTACGAACTCCCGGAAACGCTCACAAGCAACGTCACGGCCAGCGCTTCCTTTTCAATTTGGGCATATTTTGTTTCAGCCTTTGAGAGCACCCTTGAAGCATAACCCACTGGGCGCCAATCTTGGCCATGGAGTTGAAGAAGAGCAGCACCTACTGCAAAGCTTGATGCATCAGCTGAGAGTTTCGTTTGCTTCAATGGGTCAAAAACTGCGATCACTGGAGCCGATGTCAAAGCCTTAATAAGATCTTTCCATTCTTTGTCATGGTGAACTTCCCATATGAATTCAACATCATTCTTTATCAATGACCTAAGGGCGTCAGTTCTTTTTGAGAGATTAGGTATGAATTTGCCAAAGTAATTCATAATACCTAAAACCTTTGAACTTCCTGTTTACTCGACGGCTTTTGCATGTTGGCAACGCATTCAATGAGACTAGCATCGGGTTTTATTCCTTCTTTGCTGATACAATCTCCCAGGAATTTAACTTCGGCCTTCGCGAACAGACACTTTCTTTGTTCAGTGTCAGGCCAGCCTTTCTCGCTGCCATCAGTGCTGCACGCAGGCGTTGATCATGCTGCTCTTTTGATGCACCCCAAATTAAAATATCATCGACATATACGCGTGTGCCCGGCAGGTTTTCAAACACTTCCGTCATTGCCTTCTGAAATACTTCGGGGCGGACGCGATACCAAATGGCAGGCGCAAAAATCGGTATCTTCCGAACGGCGTGCTAAAGGTGCAGATCTTTGAAGTGTCTTCGTCTAAGGGGATCTGGTGAAACCCGCTATTGGCATCAAGCTTGGTGAACATCACCGCTCCTGCCAGCTCTGCTTCTATTTCTTCACGTGAGGGTAGCTGATAATGCTCGCGTTTAAGGCTTCGATTAATGTACCGCGGGTCTAGGCATATTCGCATGCGGCCATTCTTCTTCATAATAAGAACAAGTGGACTCACCCAGTCTGACGGCTCTTCCATTTTGCATATGATGCCCTGCGAGACCATCCGGGCCAACTCCTGCTTAAGTGGCGCTCGCAGTGCGTGTGGCACTTTCCTCGGCGGCATGATCGTGGGGCGCGCATCATCCTTCATTGCCAGCGAATATGGTCTACGGATGCAGCCCAGACCGTGGAATAACTCCGGGAACTCGGTGACCCAGTCGGTGCTAACGTCACTTCTTGAAGATACATCGTGAACGCGGGAAATCAGCCCGAAACGTTCTGCTGCATTCAATCCGAGTAGGACTTGCTTGCCTCTCTTGACCACAAAAAAACTGATATTCTCTTGCTGCCTCTCCTAGACGTAGTGGCAGACTGATAACGCCCAAATGATGTATTTTGCTTCCTTCGTAGTTAGTAAGTACTGTGGTCGATGGCCGCACCATGGTCGGCAACGCATCCTGCGAAAGTACGAGTACGGCAATATGTTCGCTTGCGCTCCTGTATCCACTTTCAGTTCTGTCGGGGTGCCCGGCAAGGTCCCCTGCCACCGTCCAATCCTGATTTTTGGACACGTTTCTGATTTGTACCGTGAGAACTTGAATGTCTTCATCGGTAGCGTCCGAGGAC